TCTATATTAAATTTATACTGGCGTATACTTATAACCATTATAATACAATGATTCATTACATTTTATTATGTAGGTACGTTTATAATAATAGATATTGCCACAGAATGCATTATTAATATGTTATATTGTTTTGTAGAAATTGGATCTATGAAAATAATGTACACATACCTAACACTTGTAATAGATATGTGATTATCAATAAATTATACTTCAAATCCTAAACAATAAAAAATTACAACTTGTTACAATAGTATAAAAAAATTTTTTTAATACTATTCAGAATTTTATACGATTCAAAATCAATAACTGTATCAGGAAATAAAAATTATGTAGGATGTCAACAAGAAAAATTAAAATTTTAAATAATAATAGTAATAATATTTAATATAAAAGTAATATTTTTTTTTTATTAACATTTTAATAATATGCATATTTTGTGTTTATATAAAGATATATGTTGATATCATATGACAACATTGGATAAAAATTAACTAAAAATTTTGTAATATTGAAATTTGTAAATAAAAACTTAAATATAACTATCAAATTTGAGTCTTTGCAAATGATTCAAATGATGTAGGTACTAAGAAATCTTTGTTTTTTAATGAGCAAAATAGGGAAATGTATCTCTTTTAGTCTTTTGAGATAGTTGTCCAAGTATCAACAACCAATAAAACGTGTATTAAAAAATCGCCTGAAAGAGAGCTTGTGTTTAGAAATAATTTATATGACGTTAATTTATAAATTATTTACGTTTTTACGCAGTATAGTTTTATATTAAATACATTACACGTGTAATACTTCTCTGAGTAAGCAATAACAATATATAGTTCATCGTGGTAACAAGCTGAAATTAATAATTATAATTTACATTGATAGTATTGCATTATATTAATTTTTCGCGTGTAAGTGATTAACCGGTTAATCAAATTAAATGAAATGTCCATAAATATCTGTGATTAAAAAATAGCTTATTGTTTTCACGGTAACCCGAATATCGACCTATAATTATTTAATATTATTTGGTCCCACGCCCCCACACGTTCTGCAGTGATACTCATTATCTATCTTACTTATCATCTCTCTCTAATTTAAAACGGATCATATATTATTATTATTATACACGCTTCATGGATTATGAATTTTAGACCATTTAAAAAGAATATATTACATCTATATAATACAACCACTTTTTCACAAGTTCGATTTTTAAATTAGTTTGATACGTATGAGCCAGCTGCAAAATGTAATTTAAAACACAGCGTAAGTACATTGTTTCTATTGTAACGAATTAGTATAACATATAATAATATAATACAATGGCGAATGATTATAATATTATAATATGTAGGGACGTACATTAAAAAAAAAAACAATGCATTTGTATATTTTCACCGAAGTTACCGTGATATTAATTTATATGTGGACCACGTCTTACGTGGCGTATACGAAAACGAGGGTCGGGTGTAATATATTATTAATTTAAGTTTGAACACTATAAATTAATAAACAAGTAATTTTTATAAATGCAATAGAGCAGAGTTTGGTTTACTGAAATAAAAACGGTCGAGGCTTTGTTAATAAATAGGTTCTTTGAAAATGTGTTAATCGTCTTATAGAATATTCTGACTGAAGCAAAGGATGTGTCGTATATTATGCACATTTCGTCGTTAACACACTCACACTCACTAAGATCTAAGACAACGTGTAGTTAATTCTTTTGCGAACCTTTTTTTTCATAAAAAGCTATAAATAATTTACGAGCTTTTTAGTTCGCCTGATAGGAATTTTTTTAATCGACTGCTCATTCCTACTATGGTTCTTTAAACAGGTAATAATTGGATTTTTGCACTAGATTCCCTAAATGCAAGTTAAGGCTACACAATATATTCAATAATATATGGAGAAGAAGTATAATTAAGTTTTAATAAAACTGATATCGTCATATTATTATTATGTGTTGAAATAAACAAATTACTGCCATTATAAAATTTAAAAAAACACCTTAGTATGCAGTTAATGTAATATGTATAATAATATAATTTAGTCGAACTTTTTGATTCTAATCTTTTTAACTATACTACTTACATGGTGTAAAATAAAAAAAAATAATAATGTTTTATTACAAAATAAATGTATTATCCTCTAAGTGTCTAAGGTGATTGATTACGAAAATAGCTATGACCAAGTTGTTGTTGTTGTCAAGTTGGATAAGATTTTCTTTAAAATCGATACTTGAACCTCGTAGTGCGTAAAAGTCGTCTTTAGAAATATTACATGACCTCGGCACAATATAAGTACAGTATGCTGCATGTAATCTGCATTTTGGCGACTTTTCAAATAACTCTCCGTTACGCGTCTTGGTATGTGAATACATTAGCACATAAATTTAACCTGTCTCACTGATTGCAGGGTATATAGGTAAGTCTTGCTATTATGCCGGGGTCGGTATATTGGTATAACTTATGATATTCTCTATAAAATGCATTGCGAAAAATTCATCTCTTATTAGATGCATACGCAATAATATTTAATATATATTTGAGGGCATTGACATTTTTTTTTTTGCAATCTGAGTGCAGTTCAACAGGTTTTAATGTAATTTTTGTTGATTTGATATTTTAGATGTAAATAAAGCATTTAGGACTGTGCACAATTATTATTAATTATTAACTATTGCTCATCGATCAGTAGGAATGGAGATAATTTAAATGATTATTATATAATGGGAAAACACTCCTGAGGTATTTCTCAGATATGAAAATCATCTATTGATATACATCTTAGAGATAAATCTCCCAAAAAAGTTGATACATGGCCAAACAACTAGCATAGTTTATAATTTACCAATTGGTAAAAAAAATTCTAATTAAGAAATTATGTCCATACTTGTCAGAATATCTGTTTAACGACATCAACAGATGCCGTCGAGGAAAATTTTCACTGATCGCATAATATACCACAAACAGGCACGGATGTATTGCTATAGCCTATATTGCTATAGCCATGACGACTCGGTCCAGAGGTCTAATCTTTATAATAGGTATAAAATGTACGAGTACATATTATTATAATGTTTATAGATGAGAACGAAACTGCTGAGTCTGATCAGAGCCAACGCCTGTGTTAAATCCTAATTTGAGGTTAGAATTGGGTACCTACAATAATATAAATATATATTAATAATATACGTATCGTGTATAGGTATAGGCATGGACATAACTTTAGAATTTAATCAGGGGATAATCCTAGAAAATCCAAGTTGAAAATCCATTACCTGACATCATGAACGTCACTACTTACTAGTAACAGGGAGTCATGTAAGATTAAATTTGAAAATAAATCATTGAGTAAAAGCGCCTCCCCCCCGTCATAAAAAATAAAATGCCAACAATAAAATAAGTATAATATATAATACCTAATATATTTTATAACTTCATTACACCTCAGTTTAGATGAAAATGTTCATTAGATAATTCTCTTTCTATTGCTATATATCCGTTATAGAAACATCTCCCTGATGTATATGACGTTTTGATTCTCCTTGTGCTTGGTATATCCACAGTGCCTATTTATATATCATATACCTACAAATGTAATAATTAATTATTAATCATTTTACATAAAGAATTCATCATAACAGTTTTTTTTTTTGCAAATATTTGGTTTTTAACCAGTAGGTGCTAAACAAATAAAACCGTATATGGAGGGCCTAAACACGTTTATGTCCTGGCTAAACTAGGTATGTCCTGGCTAGACTCTCTCCCTAGCCACTTTAGTTGCACACCTTACTCCGATGGGTATAGCACATACGTGTCGAGGAACCAAGTTTGAGCTTGTGCCATACAGTCATAGACCTAGATTTATAGTGATAACTGATAATAAACATATAGATCATATACGTCTCTAAAATGCGTTAAAGTTGTGCGTCGTGTACTCAATGCGTAAACACATGTAACTTATTAATACACGAGGGGAGCGGAACGAGCACTGCAACTCTCGTCAGGTTTTGGTGCAGTATAAATTATAGCTGCTTCAGCAGTCGTATGTATATTGTATAGGTTTTACAATGATGGTATATAAAATAACTATACTTCAATAGATAGGCACATCGTGGGGTGCACGAGTGGACGGATGCAGGTACCTACATACATGGCAACGTATACAATTATTATCGTATTTCGAGTCCTGCGATGGCGGACGAAATATAACTGCGATTCGGTGGATATAGAAAGTATCGCCGTCAACCACGGCACGTCTACACAATTATTTTGTGTATACCGTCCAATTATTACACTATGTAGGCAGTCATTATAATTATGATGCTATACGCACCGTGCATTGGGATTGTTGTAGTGAACGATAATATTATCATCGTAAAGATCGGCTGCTCTTCGGAGTGGTGAAAACTCTACGAAGAAAAGTGCAGAAAGAAAGCATCGTCGGGAAAACAGAAAACTCGTTATCTCGGAAACTTTGAGGCATGATGTGGCGCTGTGGAAACGAGACGATTTGTAGCGAGAGACGGAGAGATGGACAGAGGAGAGAGATGAGAGTTGAAACGAGAGTATGTGTGAGAGAGAGAGAGAGAGATAGCTAGTGGATAACGAAAGGGGAGAAAGAGACGAACGAATAGAGAGAGGGAAACAAGAGAGAAAACACCAAAGTCGCGAACCGACGGACCCAAGACATGTAAACCCACACGGCTACCGGTGAGAGTGGAAAATTACAATAATAGTGTGTATAATATATACACTCCATATTATTATTATGACAATCGCGCGTGACGGCGGGGTGGGTGGCGGTGTGGTGGGGGATGAGGAGGCGACGGAGCGCCGGTCACCGTATAAATACTAGCGGCGGACAGGATGTGAAAAAAGCGGCGGCGGTGGAGGCAACTTGGGCGGCGTCGGCGGCCGAGGATATTTTGTATCTCGTCACGTGGCAACGCCGCGGCCGTCGCCGAGCGGCGCACCAACACCATCTGGATCGAAGCCGGCCAAGCACGAAGGTCGTCTGTGGGTCGCGCGGCGGCGGTGGCGGCGGCTCGGCTTCGCCGGCAAACCGACACCGTACCGAGCGAGCGCGCCGCCGCCGATCGCAGTAGCAGTGCTCCGGTCGTCCAGACCTCCCGACACACTCGCGCGCATGCTCTTCCAAACCGCCGCCGCCACCGCCACCGCCGTCCGGGGCGAATGATAATAACAATAACAATAACAATAATAATAATAATACAAATAATCACAACAGTAACAACACATACACACACATAGTACACGGCGCACAGAGAGCGTTATATTTTTTGAAGCTCTCGTTTGTTCTTTCGTCCAGCTCATCGGAAGTAATATAAAATTGGATATTTACCTGCTGAAAGTTCGATAGGCATAATAATATTATACTATATCATACTTAAAACATTCTTGGAAAAATCTTTTTGACGGTTTGTCGCGAGTGCATACAAGTATAGTCCAAACGATAAACAGATAAATAAAATATCATAGCGACAGCTTCCGCTGCACACAAGCGAGGCGACAGACGCGCACTGTCGGTGCGGGGCAGTACATCGGGATCGGGATCGGTCACGAGCTGCAGCAGCGAGGAGCGGAACAGCATCAGCACCAGCAACAGCCAAAGTTCTGGTGCCCGGTCAGTGGAACCCAAGATCACGATGACAACAGGTTAGTCGAAACCATCATTCTCAAATATGAGTTTTGGGGGGCTGGGCAAACGTGGTTAGGTAACGGAGGTAACGAAGGCTCCGTTGTAAAAATCGGTAGGTATTTTAAATGTTCTTGCGAGTCGACGATCTTTATAGTATAGAAGGTGCACAGCAAATAATATAATACAAAACCTAGCCCCAGGGGTTGCATCGAGCGCCTTCCCCTTCCCTCCAGGTGGTTCTGAAAGAAGGGGGGGGATAGTTTGGTTTTAAAAATATTTTAAAAACATTGTTGTACTTTCAAAAAACATGACGAAAAAATACCACAACCGGCGTATTATTCCACGTGGGAAACGCTATATATATATATATTTAATTTATATACAAACATTTACGTAGGTACGCAGCAGCTCTGTGTACGGGTTTTCAAGGTTTTCGAAGTGCGCGCGCGCGCGCCGGCGACTGTATCGCCGGCGTTTAGAGTCGCACGCCGGTGTCACATCGTTTTGTATACTCGGTGTGCGGTAACCCGTGGCAACGCGGTCGTAAACGTATATATTACGCCGCGTTCAGCCGTCGGTCGTGCGACTCGGCAGTAAAAAATAATAATATTATAATAATGCACACGGACGACACGCACGCCGTATTATATATATTATGCGACGACCATCGTAGTTATATGCGTACGGTGTCCGAGTGATGCCAAAAACGGTATTAAACCTCGAAATACGGTATATTTCCATAACGGCGATCGTGGACTCGTGGTTCCGAGCACGGGGAAAAATAAAAAACCGAAAATACGGCGTGTTGCCTAACCTAATCGCCGCCACGACGCACGCGCGTTTTGCCCCCTCGTGCCCCTGCCAAAAGCCTGCGGGAGTAATAACCCCGCGCGGCGGCGATACCACCGTTGGTGCGAGTGTATTATAAGAAACTACCCTAGTTGGCAACGGTTTCATTGTTATTATTTGTATAGGCAGGTATACCATGGTCAGCGCGAAGGGTTGAACTTGTACACGCGCTCTGGACAGAAGCGGTAGCGTACACGTGTGCACGTGTGAAACTACCAGGGGTGGTTTTTCGGTAGGGGGACAAGGGGAGGATGTATAGCCTCCCGATGGCCTTTTTTTCGTATTTTTTATGTTAATATTATATATTATTGGTTTCTTTTATACTGAAAATAATTTGAATAATAATAATACTATTATTTTTTTATTGTTCTTTGATAAAATATGAACCGCAATTTATCATGACAAAATAATTTTTTTTTCTATTAGAAAAATTATTAAGGTAGAGTTGTTGTAGAGGTAAATACTATACCTATTCAATGTGATTTAGGCTAAAAAAAAGGTTGCTTAAATTATCTAAGTATTAAATTAACAGCTAAAACATAAGACATTTATATCACAAAGTATAAACTAAAACTTTTTAGATGTTGTTTTTCATTCATTTTATAGATCAATCAAAAATCAAGCGTTGATTTAAAACTTAAATTTTTTTAATTATTTTGATATTCTGCGGTTGTTTCGATGTCTTGGCTAAGGGCTGTAAATATAATCCCAAGTATTAGATAAACCGACGGAAAAATGTATTAATTTAGGTACTAATTTATGACCTTGGCTTAAGTTTTTAATAAATTAATTGATCTATAAATATTAAATTATGTTTTTAATGATCAGAGTGAATGTTAAAAAATCAGTCTTATCCCTTCCATTCCCGAAATCATCTGACTCCATTTTGAGGGAAACGTGGTTGTTGTTTATTTTTTTTTTTGTATTTTTTGAATCCAGATTTATTGGAAATACCATGTATTTAGCACCTTTTAATATATTATTTTAAGCACAAAAGTAGTGATATTACTAGTTATGAATTACCGCATTAGGGACTAAGACATTTTCAAACGATTTTCTACGATTTCCTTTTAGGTTCATTAAAACTGTGAAAACTGCTCAAAAACGACTATAGTGATGCGTTGGGACTTCTATTTGTAGTAAAATAAACAATTTGACATATCTACATAGTTTGTTGAACCGGGTGAAAAATATTTAACACTATAAAATGTATAGGCAGTATATTCGTATAGCTCAATACGTAATCATATTACCTATGCTACATATATACGTGACATTTGCGACGTAGTGAGTTTCTTCATTATATTTTATATAATTTTGTTTTTCTTCTTTATTAATTACTCGGTGGAATTATTTGTTGACTCTTATTCAAAGGATGTTTTTTGAAACTTATTTAAACGTTCAAAGACGTTACGTAAACCAATGTCTGGTAGAATGTTTTTGTAGCATAATTGAATTTGTAAAAAAACCGTATCAAACTTTAATATTAATCGTTCGTTACATCATCCGCCAAATGTTTCATATTAATTGTCTAAAAATATTACGTTAGGTTTTTCGCACATGTGTTATTTGACACACACACACCATTATTATAATTTATATTTTATACTGTAAATAAATAATCGTAAGAATAATTGCATATTAATTATTAAAATATGTCGAGTATAATTAAATATGCTATTCGAGCAATCAAATGATTAATATTTCAAAATATTATAAATATTTGGTTATGTTTAATTTGGTCAACTGTTATGTGCACTTATTAGCTGAATGATTTTGTAAATAAATTGTAAAAATTAAAATACAATTTTCGTCATATGTTTTTTTTGAATTTTGTTGATAATGTTAATTAAATCGTACTGGACGTTGGTGTTTTATGTTTTAAGTTGTTTATCACATAATCAATATAACTCAATATTATACAGTTTACGTTTTTATACCAAAAATTAATTATTTACTGACGATTGCTTGACTGACTCAGCTGTTATGAATAATGATTTAATATAATATGTATTGAGTATCAAATGAAGCTGTACTAAATAATAAATCAATAAAGAATCAAACTATTGTGATTTTCAGACTACATGTAGAAGAAAAAATGATCATTAGTGTATATTTTCAATCTAGTGAATATAGTTCATCATTTATTAATTTTTTTATTTTATCATGCATTAATAATAAATAATAATTACGTAATAAAAAGAAAAAACGATTGTATTTTCAGTATGAAACTATATTTAAATATCTATAATTGTTTTTGTTCTTAATTTCTGATTTATATAGACAGTAACATCAAAAAATTTAAATAATTGTTTTTTTTATTAAAAAAATAAGTTGAATGAGACAATAAAAAAAATGTGTTTATTTTAAAACGTTTAACATTTAATACAATGACTTTAAGGTCAAACAAAAGTGATAAAAGTTGTCTTCAGAAGAAATAAAATATTCTTTTATTGTTTTCAAGATTCATATACATGCTGTAAATCACATATTAAAAAACTATGCTAACAACATTCTGAGTTATGTATTTTTTTATATTATTGTCCAGATTGTCCTTGAAAAGAGAAAAAAATCAATTCAATCTCCAATATTTTTTTATCCATAATCTATATATAGTAGGTTATATATGAAAAGTGTATAATTTTACTGTGTATAGTTTAGATAAGGAAGTAAAAACTAAGTTAAAATATGTTTAGATGAAAAGGATATTTGATAGGTGCTGTACCTATATGAAGGATAGAAACAATTAAAGTTCCTACATTTCAAACAATTTTGCTAAATAATTTTACTATAGACTGCAACGATCAAAGATAATATTATGATGGTAAACAAAATATAGTATTATGTTATAAATGTCTAAAGTGATTAAATATAGTAAAATGTTTTATGCAATGATTATATTTGGTGATTAATATTTGTAAAACTCGATCTATTCTTCGGTCTTTATTGCGTGTGCTTAAGTTAGTAATTCCAAATTGATTTTCTAAAATAAACTGTGTTCATATCATAAGCGATCGCCACATCGGCTTTAAATTTAAAGCATTGTTCATTTCTAACAATCCTTTAGGACTTTATAAGATAAATCTGGGAGAATCGACGGATTATAAAGGTACTTTTTTTTTGTTAGATAAATTAACTTTCTCGAAAACATTTTAATGTGGGATTCACTAAGTAGATTGGTTGAAAGCCAAGGATATAAAATAAAAGACACTAAGCTATGTAAACAAAAATGTTAAAACATAATATGCTGACGAAAAAAATATAATAATAACAAAAAAAATGTATTACTTAACTAAAAAAAAAAACCGCTTATTTTATTAAAATATTTTATACCTGTTCAATAAAATAATATAATATATACACCGTTTTTATTTGATAAGTGAAAATAAACTAAAGTTGAAGTATGTACACATTTAAATATTGTACATTATAGATTCCAAGACAAGTAGTTCTATAGTCCATTTATTACATACCTAATCATTATTTTTTTATAACGATGGTAGGTGTAACTTTACTTATCATTAATAATAATTAGGTTGTGTATTTATTCTAAAAGGCATTTGAGCTGTGGTTTTATGATACGCTTACGTTTAGTTACAAATAATACGATTATAGGTACATAATAATTTACATAGCAAGTCACTGTATTAGGAATTGAGGAAATTAATGTCTTATTTTATTAGCTAGCTACAAATTACAATACGTGATATGGTGGCCTAGTGTGGTATGGTGGTTTTATTCAGTCACGTTTGGTTTCTAAGAGCAAGCATCGGCCAGTGTCACTAGTTTCCGGATGGGTGGCCATCCATCTGGATTTTTAGTGACAAATTCTTGCCACACACACACGTGTTCTAACCAACAGTACCCTCCAACACAGTAATAAACCTACTAAACTTTCAAACAGCCAATTGATATAGTTGCCGGGCTTCATATTAATAAATAAAAAACTCTGTATGATGTTAAGTTTTTAAAATATTAAAATAACTGTATGCTTTTCGATCATTTTTCATTGCAGAACCACAAAAAACTTGTTGAAATTAAATGGTAATTTATCAATATTTAATTCTGATATGGTACATCTATCAATATTGGATCCATATAATATATTATTACGTCCTTAAGTTATTTGGTTTAGAAAGCCATCGTAACTTTTTAATTAAGAGCGACG